AATGCTACACATGTCAATAGCCAGAAATTTCAGTTGTGAATGATGTGCATATGCATATATGGCCAATGTTCAATGCGAGAGAGAAAACTTAAAGCTTTCGACGAGCTTTTTCCAACAGCTGAGACCCAAACCCGCCTGCGAAAATCTACACAAATATTCAAACTGGAAGCTATCAGCTTTGCTTTTGATGAGTTGCCCAACACTGTCCAGAAAATTCTACAAAAGCTTTTTCATTTGTTGGGCTCGCCACTATTAGGTATACAGTTTTCCTACCATAAATCCATATGTATGAGGTGTTCACAGTTTTAGCGGGATACGTTAGCGAGATGCAGCTGCAATTCAATTAATTGTAGTTCAATTATTATCAATATACACTTGCCAGAAAAACTATGCGTACAGGCCTAACGTGCGACTTTGATAGAGAATAAATATGATAAATACTAGTATTATTATCAATATTATATTTTTTAGTGAAAAACTATTTAATAACACACATTTATCAACAAACAAAAAATAATATTAAACAGTTTTTTTTTATATTTTAAATAAGAAAAAAACAACGAAAATTCACTTAGAAAAAGTATGCGTACAAACTAAAAAACAAAACCAAAAATTAATTTTTTTCAATGAAAATTGTATGTATATGAGATGGAATGAGTATTGGTATTAAATATGGAATTAAAATTCCGTTAATTTTTTTAATTAAACATTATTGAGGTGATACCTATTAATATATGCTTCTTATATTCGGGCAATAATTATCGAGCTAGAATTCGATTTGTAATCGTTAGTTATGATCTTTAATTCCAACGAATATGCCTGATAAAAATAGTCATTAAAAATTTGCATGCCCTTTATTTCCTTTATTATATCCTTCAATGGGTACAATAGAATCCATTTCTATTAAATATATTTTAACATATTTTTGGATGCATGGAGTCTTGATAATAACATTCCCGCTAATAATTAATATTACATATAAGGAAAAACACTTTATTTCGACATTTCACTATAAAAGGAAAATGCCAGGGGAAGTTAAAAAGGAATTTGAAAGCAACAAGGGAAACACATTCCTTTTTACTCATATCAAAATTCTTGCCTAATTCGCGTTAGTTTTGTAGATTAAAACTTAGAGGCACTTTAATGGCTTACAGCACAATTTATATAATATATGTGTAAATTCGCGTATCGCAAGGGACTAGCAAAAGTTTTCGTTTCAGGAAATGTTTATTAACTATAAATTGCGCAGCGCTAAAGGCGCCGAGCCGCGCATCGGAAGGAAGGAAATGAGCAAACATCGGACGCACCCACAAAAGCAAATAAAAATGCGCCATACGCAAAACGCTCAAAATGGCGAGGTAGGCGTTACTGTTGTTGTTGTTGTTGTTGTTTTTGGTGCTGTTCCTGATGTATTGAGTATAAGGCAGGCTGCGCGTTCATAAATCATTTGCCTGCGGGCCTATGATAAATTGTCATACTAATTGTTTTTAGCGTTCAAGACAGACAGGCAGCGGCGTCTTGAAGTGAGGGGGCTGGGTTTCGGTGTAGCCCACGTCAATGTCATTGGCCATGGCAATGGCTAAGCTGATGATGATGACGACGACGATGACGTTCGGCAGCTAAATGCAGCCTGGGGCTGGCTCTCGCCTTTAAATGCCAAATTAGAAAACAAAACGAATTTGCCACTCATTTACTTTGGACCTGTCAAATTTCGCATATCATCTGAGGCCTCCCATTTTCGGCACTTCGACAATTTGAGTTTTCGGCCAAGGAATTTTCGCTTAGCTCCAAAATAGTGCGCAATATTCGGTCAGCTGCAGTTGCCATCAATCATCAATCACTCCGGGACGAGTTGCTTGCCCATTGCTTATGCAAAATGATTTGCGAGCACTTGAAATGGAGTTACTCGAGCAGTTAGTTTGCTAGTGCAGGCAAACATGTTAATATTTTGGCAAGAAGTAACAAGTTTATGATTTATGACATTTTAATAATGACAGCCAACTCGGGCCGGGTCAGATGGGGCGACAGCAAATGGGAGCAGCAACAGGTTTGTTGTCAAGTTTCTTGTGGCCGGCTCTTCGTTGTTTGTTGTTGCTTTTAAATAAATTTGTGTGTTTTACGCTCATTTGGTGATGAGAAGGGAGACAGAGAGAAAGAGAGAGAGAGAGTGAGAGCGAATGAGAGAGAGTGAGAGGGGGGAGCTTGACTTTGGACATTTCTGTAAGCGGCGAGTATTTGACACTTTAATGAACTGCCTGGGGTCGCGTGTGTCGCAGTCGCCCCTGCCGCGACCCCCGCGCGCGGTTCATTAATATTAATGCTTCATTTTGGCCAGTTTTCGCCATGACAAAATTGGGCTAGCGCACTTTAACCTGCGCCATCGACACGGGCACACACACACACACACATGTCAATCGTCGCTGCTCCGTTTGTTTAATTTGTTGATAATTGCAGTTTAATTGAGCAGCGATAGGAGCGAAGCTTGTTGTGTTGCTCACCAGATCGCAAACAATTAGTGGGCCATGCTCAAATATGTCGGCCGATTTGGCCATTTGCCAGCGATTCGGTCGGCTACTAATGCGTACGAGTAATGATGGCACAATTGCATTTGTCTGCTGACCTTTGACCGGTCCAGCTTAGGCCTAATGCCCTTAATGGTTTTGTGTGTTTGGCACCGTAATTGCTATTATTAGCTGCTTGTATTTGGACACACTGACCCCATGTGTCTCTCTGTGTGTGTGCACAATGTCTTTTGTATCTGTTGGCGGCTGCTGATGTCATGATTTATGGGCCAATAGAAATTAAGGCACGCGCAGACTTTGAAATATTTTAATTAAGAACACTCGCGCACACGCCGATATCAATTACCCAGTCCACTTGCCAGTGCACCACCGTATCGATGGCCACGAAAATTTGCACGGCAAATGAAATCTGAGCGTAGCTCGGGCAAAATCTTATAATTTACTTTATCGTTTCGGCCAGTTCTGTGGCAACTTTTGACTGCCATTGCGATTTGTTATCGTTTGGGCTTAGTTGTGTTTGCCTTCGGTCTAAAGATAAACAAGCGCCCGGCAGAAAACAAGAAAAACAAGCACCTGACAACCTGACCCTAGGCCATGTTATTTAACTTTGGACACGCAGCTATTGGCGGCTGTCCATATCAGTTATATGACAGCTGCCCAGCAACTGTAGCAACCAAAGTTTTTGGCCCCCATTGCGGGGGTCTTTAAGTTATTTAGTATCTAAGTCGACACCGCCTGAACAAATTTCTATTTTCTTGTGGTTCTCTATGGTTCTATTTCCATTCGCCAGTGGCAAAAGTAATTAAATTAAACGTTGATGGGAAGAAAGAGAGAGAGGGTGGGAGGGAGAGAGGGATGAAGAGTGGGAGGGCGAGTGAGATTCAGAGAGAGGTAGAGAGAGAGAGAGGTAAAGACAGTGATATTTAAAGAGAGAGAACAAAACAGACAGAAAGATAGAAGGAGAGAGGGAGATAGAGACAGTGAGAGAGAGGGTGGGAGAAGAGGGAGCGAGGGGGTGTGTGAGAGAGAGATAGCCAGATTGAGAAAGAGAGAGAGGGAGAGAGTGAGAGAGACACGAAATGCGAGGGAGTGATATATAGAGATAGGGAGAGAGTGAGAGAAATAGGGATTGAGAGGGAGAGATATATATAAAGAGAGAGAGAGGAAGGATCTTAATATATTTTAACAAATTGTACGCTTTGAGCTAAATATAAATGCTGCCCCAGTGGGTCCAATGGGACATTTAGCTCATCGAGTCGACCAGCTAAACCGACATCAACACAAATCTTGGCTGCCCTTTGCTGATGTATGGCGCCTCGTTATGTGCATAAATGAGCATTGCTTAGCAGACCTGTTCAAATAGGCAGAGTCAACGTTAAGGAGGGGGGCACAGCCTGTTGCTGCGGGCATTGTTGGCCTGTGCTTATGCTTATGTTGGCCTATAAATCTGGTCAGCAGCATCCTTCGGTCAGGCTCATTTATGATGAGTTTCCATTGACAGCTAAGTGGTCATGCGTAGCTGGGCCTGAACTATTATCAATTAGAGCGTATTCTCTATACACACACACACACACGCACGTACTCACTCAAACACACACACAGATGCGTAGAGCACATCCTAGCCAGATTTGCACACTTGAAGATGTAATCAGATTTATGTGCAGCAATCAAGACAATTACCTAGCAAATTCTAGAAACCATATGAATCAGTTGATACAGAAACGTGTGTGCGTGTGTGTGTGTGCTGTCTACTCTTGGTTTGTTGTTAAATATTATTATTGCAGGAGTAGTGTTGATGTACTGTATGTCTCCAAGGAGCCATTTATGACTAATTTAAACGTATTTGTTGCCAAGACAATGTGCCAATTTGTTATTCTTGGCCAGTTGCACAGACATTGGCCATGGCTGGAGCGTGGCCCAATTATGTGCGCTGGGAATTTTGTTTAAATATATGTATGGCTTGCTTAAGTAGTTACAAGTGTTACTTGCACACACACACATAACACACACGCATGCACACATGCACACATGCATATAGAGAGTCGCAAGAGATGCAAAATTATAATCAAAATTCATATAAAAAATCATCATTTGGCATCAGCGGTGGCTGCCAGTTGACTAATTAATTAATTATGCATATTTCCGCATAGTTTTTGGTGGCATTCGGCCGCTTTGTAGTTTGACCGCTCCGAAACACGAGTAGTTTTTGCCGCGCTTCGAATTTATGTAACGGACTGCCCAAACCAACGCCCCATTGGGGCACCCCAAGGCGCAGTGTTAACGCTTAAATGGTCATTTATCTTTGATTAACTGTTGTTGGCTGTCGGCTGTCGGTTGTCGGTTGTCGGTTTTTGGTTTTCGGTTGTTTGGCTGTTGCTGTTGTTGCCTGTCTGCTCGTGGCGCGTGTTGCAACCGCCGAAATCGAGCACAAAATCAAAATCAAAACTCCAGCTGAAGCTGAAACTGAAACTTTAGCCGATTCAGCTAGTATATTGTAAGCGTTCGCATCATTTATCATTTTTAGTTACAATTTCGAATTTTCACTCTTGTGGCATTTTTGGACGCAGCGAAATTAAATGCGCGTATAAAAATCAGAGGGCCCTCAACTCTGGACGCCAGTTTGCAACTTTTGGTAGCCGCCAACAGATCCCCGCACAGCATCATCACAGCGCCCCAATATATGTCCATGATGCGTGGAATTCTAGTAAGTATTTGTGGAAATTGAAGACCTTGAACTGCTGCTTACGCTCAGTGAAAACACTTTCAGTTTCTCTGCTTCGTTGCTGTGGCGAGCGCCTCGAAATTGGGCTACAATTACCGGCCAGCTGTCGACGACAGGCGCTTTGCCGACCTCATCGATCGGGAGGCAACCGGATTCAGTGCATCGGATACACGGCAGCAACAGCAACAGCAACAGCAACAACAACAGCAACAACAACAGCAACAACTGTTGGGGCCACAGGCCGTGCCTGATGAGTTTAATAAGGAATTCTATACATATGCCGCGCCCGAGGAGGACTTTGCCGATCGCGAGGCCACACAGCAAATCGCCAATATGCTGAAGCGCAGTCTACGCGTGCTCTTCATCAAGTCGCCCGAGCATCAGGGCCTCACAAATGCCGCACTGCAGCTGGCGAAACAGTCCAGCGAGCAGCGCACGGCCATCTATGTGCTGACCAAGCAGGCGGACGTTGGGGAGCTGGCGCAGCGGCTACAATCCGAGAAGCAGAACTTCGAGCACAAGCCAGAGGTTCACTTTGTGAAATATCGCACGCCCGAGGATGCGGTGCGTGCACAGCAGCTCATCCAGCAGCAATTCAATGCCCTGGGCGGCAGCTCACGCAGTTCCGATGAGGGCGTGGCACCGGTGCTGGACTTCAGCTCAGCTCCGATTGTGGATGAGCGCTCGCCGGCCCAAGCCAGTGTCGGCTCCAAGTATTTGCCTGCAGCGTAGCAGCCACGAGTATTGCAACTAGAATTCCTTTAGTCAGTTTACGTTGTTGTAGTTGTTTCTGTTATATTTTATTAAAATAAGATTCCTATTACAAATTGCGTGTGCCGAGCTGCTGGGCAAGGCTATAATTTTACTTTGATGTAGAAACTGTTCTCGGAGCTAAGCTCTTGACAGAAAATGGAAAATTAAAATTTCGCTCGGTATTATGTTTATGATAGCAAACCACTTTAATACGGGATACTCTTCGATGATGTCCATGGACTATGATTGCAGCATTACATATAGATGCAACAGTGCTCTACATAAAAAAATGTATTGACTGATTAAACATTTGATGTCTGAATAATCTAATCGAGCCTTGCACGAGCAAAGCTTGAAACAGAATCGACTTGGAGTTTATTATACCCTGAACCCATTGAAAATGTGAAATCAGGGTATAATGGTTTTGTTAAAAGTATGTAACAGACAGAAGGAGGCGTGGCAGACCCCACAAAGTATATATATTCTTGATCAGGGCGACGAGCTGAGTTGATTTGGCCCTGTCCGTCTGTCTGTCCGTCCGTCCGTTTGTATGAACGCGTCGATCTCAGAAGATATAAGAGCTAGAGACTTGAAATTTTTTTTCCTAGGTCCGTGTATATCACGCGCATATGAAGTTTTTCTTTATATATCGATAACTACTCCCGATATTTTATTATCGATTAAAAACCTTATCGATAGCTAGGTATTTAATTATATATCCAACACCTTTCGAGCTAGAGCTTCCAAATTTTAAATGTAGACTTATATGTATTTTACATAATTTCGATTTTTGTTGTAATTTACCGCCCATCCTTATATCCACCCCCTCACCCACCTTTGTAAAAAGCGTATTTCAAGCGACTAGAGACTTGTGCTTTGGAATGTACATACATTTTCACCATATGATTACGCCCTGAAAGTTCCATTAAGATTGTACGTCTAGAAATTAAATTATTCAACAAATAAATTCTTATAATGTTGTCCACACTGCAGCGCAGCCCAAGCGCAGTCGCTGCTTACTGCGCAGTTAGCAGATCGCGTTCTAATACGTTCGTTTGTATGTGCCGAAATGAAGTGCAGAGTGATTAGAATATCAGATTAGAGGGTTCAGGGTATCTCCTAGTCGAGCAGTCTCGACTAGAGTCTTCTTACTTGTTTTTAATATTGTAAAAATGCAATATAAATTCTTCTACTCAGTGTGGGAGGTTACGGAAATTATTCAGTATATTTATTGTCAAAGTACGGTTGAGTCCAGATAATTCCAAATGGCAAGGGGAAAGTTTTTTTTTTTTCGATTTACACAGAAATTCAAACTATCGAGAATTATCGATAACGATTTTTTGCAAGAGGATAGAGCTTATTTCGATTTATCGCGTTATTAGATTTAGCGGGGTACAAATCATCGAGACGACCATATTTTAATTCCTTGCTTCTTCGTGGCAGAAGTATATCTCTTATAAGAATTAATTTTATGAAACTTGAGAGTATTCAAAAAGCGACTATCATTTATCTGTTATGCGTGTATTGTGTACGTGTGCTCAATTAAGTATCCTTTGACTAAGTATTGTATGCCCCAGGATTGGTGGGTTTTAGCCAAGTGCTACTGCCACTGCCACGGCCATGGCCATGGCCATGGCCATTGCCTTAGCCACTGCCGTTGCTGTTGCCCAGAAGACAGACTTTGAAAAACGCAGGATACAACTTTTATAATTTGATTAGCTTTGTGCAGTGATTTTGCCTTTGGTGCTGTACTAAGAACAGTTTTGTATTATTTATGCACTATAGTTCTTAGAATTATCGAATGTTTAACAAACGCCTGGTCTGAACTGATATTAATCCATGTTTTAAATTATGCAGAATAATACATCAAGAATTTATTGTAAACGAGAATTTATATCTAATTGAAATTAGTTTTCTATCAGCTAGATGGGAAAGATGGGCAGTCAACTAATTAAATTTAAAGCTGAGAGATTTAGTCCACAATTAGACAATTATTTTTTGCGGCTGGCAGTATAGATATTTTGGTTACAGTCCCTTGGTTACTGATAAATAGAATTCCTTAAATTCTGTTTTAATCTAGATTTGTGCAATGGCAAAGGTGTTTAATTCGCCGCCTTCAGATCAGCAGCACAAAATAAGAAGATAGCTTTGGGGATTCGTCTTATAAGCTCAGCTTCACAGCCCAATAAATTGTCGCTTATTAAAGTTGCAGAAAGGGAGCTTAGAGCATATCCTTGCTGCTGGCAATTTAAAACGGATTCAATTTCAATTGTTGCCGTGCGTGGCAATTGCTGTCTAGGGGGTCCACAGGAGTCGGCGGGTCTTGCAATTATGTTGGCGCTGTAAAGCAGCCAGCACGTATGTGCTGGGGCATGTATGTGTGTGTGTGCTTTTTCTTTTCTTTTTTAAGCGAAGCGAAATAAAAGTAAATAATGAAAATAAAACGCCGGCGAAAGGCGCACAGATAAAAATAAAACGCATCGCATATAAAACGAAGTACCGACAAAATGGCAGACAGTTTGCGAAGCGGGAAATGCCCTACCCCCTTTCCTGATTGTCTATAACGTCTCTATCCGATTAAAGCGCAATTCGGAGTCAATTAATACAAATGAGCGGCGCTTAATACGGATGGCGAGGGATGGGGTGTGAGTGAAGGGGCTTCAGCGATTTGCACAATAACTCGCAAGCAGGAAGAGGCAGTATTTCGTTCTGTTTGCCCCTTGCAATTTAATTAAACAAACAGTTTGCCCTGCGGTTTTCGGCCAGCACTAGCTGCGGCAGCCGCAGTTGGCCCGGGGGACTAGTAATTTGCAGCGGCAACAGCAAAAATGTTTGCCAAGTGCCGACGTGTTGGCAACAACTCTAATCCGTTGTGAATAATTGTTATTGTTTTAGGCACTCGGACCGGGCACTTGTGCTCTAAATTTAATTGTCTAGGATTGAAGTTTGCACGGCCGTCCATTGCGGTCCGTCTGTCAGTCAGCCATATCGATTATTTTTAATTGCTATTTAAGAGCAGTCAAACAAAATAGGCGCAGTTATAGCCCAAAAACTCGCATATACAAGCAAGCATGGCTTTAAGCCATACTCATGTTGAACAAGGTCGTAAGACAAAGATATTTTGGTACATTTGAAAAACAAGATTAATGCATTGATATCTCTTGTCCTGTCACAGCTTGCCGTAATGTCCCAGAAATAGAATTGCAAAGGCAATCAAACTGAAATTTGAACTCAAAAAAGAGAATGGATACAATTATTATTGATAAAAATGTATTCAAATGTCAAGCTATAAATTAATATCTAAAAAAAAAAAAAAAAAAAATAAGATTAACTTTAAGTTAGTTTTAATTCTATATCAACTCCAACTAGTAAATAAATAAATAAAATAATTATTGATAAATACATATAATACATATTTGACGAATTTTTTAAATTTATTTTATTATTAACTTGATTAATTAAATATAAATAAAATTAATTTAATAATTAAATTAATGAATTTTTTAATTTTTTATAAAAATCTAAATAAAAATTAAATCTCAATATCCCAATCTTCAAATATAATATTACATATATATATATTAAATTATTTAAATCATTTAAATAATTTAATAATTTAATTTAATTTAAATAATTATTTACAAAAATTTTTTATTATATTATTATTTGTCGTCTATTTTATATTTATCATTATATTTATATTTATACAAATATGGTAAGTATATTATATATTTATATAATACATCTGGTATCTTTAAAGTCAAGTGTGTGTGTTTGATTCCCAATTGAAAAAGAATGCAATTACAACGAACTCGATAGCGTTCAATATGATTTCAAGGAACTGAACACCCTTCAGAAAGCAATCTATATACACATACATATATGTGAAAGCGTGTTAGTTAACGAGTATTTGTGTGTGCTTGTGTAAAGATTGTATTGTTGTAGGGCCAGGATTTTGTCATGTCACAGCCAATTAAGCTACCTGAAATGAAAGATGAAACGTAAGGCGACAAAGCATTGAAAGCGCTGCTTGGAATCGATGTATGTTCGAGATACACCCACAACCACACACTTACAGCCAGACAAACAATAATTTATTTTGTATTTGTCTACTTGTATTGTAATGGCCCCTCAGCGTGGGCGTACAAAGCTCAGTTCCACGCATCATTATCCCTTTTTGGAGTCTCAAATTGATTTGGAGATATGAATTTCTGTCCTTGGCCGTCGAGCTAATTGTGAAGCGTCTAGCCAGTCGAGAGCAGAACAGATATACATATGCATATCTGGAGGTGTTTATTATCGCTTTGTTTGCCCGATCACATGTCTGTGCTCGCGGGTAATTAAATTTCCCATACATAAACATACATATGTATATACTGTTTCAGCTCACCACACACATGTGGCTTTAACTATGCAACGAACTTAACTAATATGAATAGCTTCTAAGGTGTGATGAACGGGATCGAAAAGGGACTCACACATTGTGGGCTGCTTGATTATGTGTTGGTGTCTTGGCGACCAAACACCACCGACAAAATTATTATTGCATTTGTATTGCGGCAGTCGAAGAAGTACACACAGTGAATGTAAATCGATTCCATATTTGTGCTTGACAGACAATCACAGCTCTGAACAGCTGAATGCGTAATTGATGTGTGTACGTGTGTGTATTAGGCATGTGAGAATGTTGACCTAATTTGGCGTGCAATCACTTGACGCTCGCGGGTCCTTTGCCTCTACGGGCACAATTCAAACACAATTTCCAGAGCGCCAGCTAATACAGCTAATAAAGTGAACCCAGCTTAAAGCCACAAAGCAAATAGGTGTGGTTGCTGCATGTGGCGGGGGACAAGCAAAGGGTCGGCTTCTTGCCCAATTCAAGCATAGACAGCGCATGAACGAAAGCCAGCACAAAACGGAAATGAAACTTATTAAAAGATTTGAATCTAATCGATTTTTGTCCTTTACGCCGAAATGAACTTTGCCGTCACCAGCTCGCAGTTACCAGTTACCAGTTGCCAGTTGCCAGTTGCCGTTGCCAGCTGTGGTGCGGTGC